CACCTTTAATTAACCATTAGCTCTTTCTCATTAAAAGTCTGTGAAATGCACTGGATGTACCATTTTCCAAACCTGTCCCGCTCCCCAAAAAACATTTTAGTTTCTCATTTGAAAAGAGTTTGAGGAGTGAATGTTGACCTTCAATCGGTAAAATATAGGGGCTGGGGCTGTAATAACTGCAGGTCCTGGAAAGCAACAATGCACCTAATTATATATTACATATGATAGGAAGATTGGATTTCTCAAAGGATATTACTGGAACAAGCACTCTGTACAGAGGCCTACTAGGATAGATTTAAGTGTATATATTTAATTAAATTCTTCTTTAGAAACACTCCATTTAAAATAGTTGATTATCAATGTGTGACAAATTGTAACCTGAAATTTCTGAAAGAAATTATATCCCATTTCCTTTTTTATTTATAAAGAAAAGGAAATTACAATAAGACATTTAACTTTGAACTGGTTCCTCTTAAATCTATCCTAGTACCATCATTTACATTACAGGCAGTAGGAAAAGAAAAATAATGATGATATATGATAGTCAGGTATCTGGTTTTCAGATGCAGAAACTAAAATAACAGATTTGTCTCTGATAAAAAACACAAGTGTCCCAGTAGCTTTATTGGTTCTCATTTGCTTATTGTTCTAAAACTAATAGCTGGAGATGCCCAGTAATGTTCACGTTTCTCCCATCTGGGATTTAAAAACACCTTCCTCTCACAAATTATTTAATTCTATTTAATTTCCTGGTTTCTCTGTTTTAAAATAAAAGGACATATCCTTACAGATTCCTAGAATGATTAAAATATTTTCAACAGGCTAAACTTGAGGTAGCAAAACACTATTGCTAACCTCATATAACAGGCTTTTGCTCAGACAAATAGAACATACTACAGTGCAGTATGGTAATAATGGGAATTTCTGCTTCATACAATATGCTGAGCTGACATCGGCATTCCCACATCACAGTTCAACCACAAAATACCTAAACCCATTTTAGTTTGGCCAAACCCCTTGTGTGAACCTCCCAAAGGTGGATTGTCCCAGATTCCCACATGTCTTTTGAAGATAGTTAAGTTCAACTGAAATGAGTATACTTTTACTAAATCACTTGCAGCTTGATTGCAAGATTGCCTTCTTGGATATTTTCCCTCCACGCAGACAACAGGACTCATAATGCTTCTCCCAAATCATCTCACATTAAACCATACATAGCCTTAATGCTCAGATCAGGCCCTGAAAGACTTCAGAGTGGATGCCAAGGCATTTTGAATAAATTTAATGGGCAGCTTGTTATCTGGAAAAATAAGCAAAGCACAGGCTAACCTATGCAATCACCTCCCCAACTCAATGGAGCCCTTTTGTTCGGGTGGGGGTGGAGTGGAGTGTCTTTCCTAACACAATATTTGAAAGAGAAGCAGACCCACCTTGCTATCTCTGCTAGCTCCATGGAGGTGAATTAAGGGAGAAACCCCCACCCCACCCCTTTAAATTTGCTCCTCCCTTAGGTTTGAAATGATCAGGTAAAATATTTTGTGTATTTCTGGTTCCTCATTCCCCTAACTTTGAGACTCACTAAAGAGCTGGTCTCCACAACTATCCACACACACCCAACATTAGGACATGTTCTGGAAACTTTATGGGGTAACAGGCTTCTTTGTGGTCTTCCCTCTGAACATAATACTTCTCCTGTTTCTTTGCGTTGAAGGTCAGGTTAGCAATCCAAGATAACATCAGGTTTCACATCTTTGTGTGTGTGTGTGTGTGTGTTTGTGTGTGTGTGTGTTCTGTGAGGATAAGAAGTTTCATTCTTTCCCTACTTTACCCCTTCCCAGATCATCACATAGAGAGAGGGTGTTTGCCAAGGACACAAAAGGGCCCACTCTTCACATATTTTTCATTTACTTCTAAATCTCATTTAAAAAAAACCTTTCCACACACCTGTTTATTGGATTATGGACTTTGGTGAAGGGAAGAAAAGGGAGAAAAACTACTCCATAGTGAAATTGTGAGGTTCAATTAAGCACTCTCCATTCTCCAGGACCTCTCAGGCAGAATGCATGCATAAGACATAACTAGTAGGTTAGGGTTAGTACATTATGTGAAACCTATTTAATTATGGTTAACTATGCAACAGCCAAACTCTTAAAAAATCTCTTCCCTCCTGCAAACACTTAAGGCTTTTCCAAGTTTCAAACATTGTTCCCCTCCCACCTATTTTTTGCTTTTCTATAGATACCATTCCACTAAAGGTGGTATCCCAATGGCTTGGATGATAGGAAGGGAATTTATCCCAACCACACATCCCCACTTCTAATACAAGGCCCATAAAAGGGATTCAAAATACTTGCAGGCCTCAACATTATCTCACTCTAAAGAGACACAAAGACATGATGCAGCAACTCTTAAATACTTGCTTCCAATGTCACCAAGAAAAGCAAGGGGACCTAATTCTGAAGCCAGGACCTGGATCAGTGGAAGGTTTACAGCTGCCTTCAGATGAGTAAAAAAATGAACTTTCACAGCTACTTTCAGCTATGGATCTCCTGGTTGAGTGTTGAATGTAATGTGATAGCAACCAACTTGGAGGCCTTTCATGTTGGGGTGCTTCATATTGCCACCATTCCATTGTGTCTGTGCTGAACCCAGCACCCTTTTTCACACAAAGAGCGATGCATAAACAAACACAAGGGGGTGTGTGATCACACACTGTAATTTTTTCTGGTGCTCAAGTATTTAACGAAAACCTGTGGCTCATTTTATACCTCGTTTTGAGCTGTTTTAAATCCGCCTAAATTCTCTGCGGATTTTGCTCAGATTTTTCCAGGCTTTCTACAATGCCACATGCCTCCCATTTATCCAGCCATGCTCATAATGCTCGAAAGTGGTAAAACAGGAACAACATAACATCGAAAATATAGGACACTGCACACCAGAACAATTAGACACAAGGATAGTTCCCCCCCATGCCATCACTCTGCTTAACAACTAATTCCCACAACACTGTCAAATAATTTACTAAGATTTTATTACTATTCTTCTTCTCTTCCTTCCTAATAGCTATCTCTTCCAATTTATTACTATACCCATGTTGCTTGTATCTTTCAATTAATATTGTTTT